GTAATTGCCAGCAAAGAGAAAAATTGAGGTTATGTTTGCTTTTGACTGACGTCATATGTAACAAACGTTGGGTAATCGTACGTACATAACATACGTAGGTTTGTCATAATTTTCATCAACTACCACACCCTGCTCTAGTAAATATTTTAGTGACTTTATTGTTAAAATTAGAAGTTACTGTAAAGTTACTAAATTTGGAGCAGGGTGCGGTAGTTGACCGAGAATTATAACAAATGGCATGTTACGTACACAACCCTGAGAAAGGAAGATTAAAATTTACTATACTATTCTGTAATTTTCTCTAATTGGACCTTTTTTCCAATTATTCAATGATTTATCATTCTGTTTCTTAATTATCATTTTATGAAGATCCATATTACGAAATTAATTCCAGTAGTTATTTTATTACAAAATTCAAAACGAGAAAATAATACCAGAATTAGAAAAAGGAGATGAACTGTTATCGATTGACTAATATATATATATATATATATATATACAATTATTTAAGTGGCGCCTCCAGGCGTCCTTGGGGGAATTTTGATCGTGAAAGACATACACGGATTGAATTATTAGCATGAGATTTGGAGGTATCTAAAAAAAAGCGTTATAATTGCCGCGCTTCTTCGAATGAGATTTTGGAAAGAATATTCCGCCGCCGTTGTTGCCTTGTATTTTTCACCATGGTGGGTCGTTCGGTAGGCGGACAGAATTTTTTGACGGAAAGTGGCGCCGCGTAAAAATCCCCTTCCGAAATTGAAAGAGAGAGAGAGAGAAAGAAAGAAAGAGTCGATGAGCATCAAACTCCTGGAATTCGACCTCCAGGTCGGTGTGGGACCTGGGACTCATTTTTCGAGGTCGCATCGGACCCCGGTGACCCTTTATATATATAGATAAGGCTCACGCCCTAATAAGTGGGTACACATATGGTTTGCTCCTCTTTCTAAACTCTCGACCCTCAATCTAGATAATCTAAACCGCGAACTGACCATTTCACCCCCAATTTTTCATTTCTTTTTCTTATTTTTCTCCAGCACTTATATATATAAAACGAACAATTCATCGAAAAAAATGGTCTACCATTTTCAAATGCCTATATCCTATTACTAGATTTTTTCCCCTTTTAGCCAAAGCGTTCTTCATTCAACAAATGAATAAAATTTATAAAAAAAATAAAAATGAGTACTTTTCTAGAAGAAAAATTTTTATCAAAGCTATATATATAACCCTTCATTATTTAATTTGACCAACAAAAAAAGAAAGTAATGGCAAGACAAAAATAAAGTGGTGTTATTTGAACCCTGTGGGTAAAAATGCATGGTACCAATTTTAAAGGATTTTTGATTCAAACCTAAAGGGCATCAATTGGTACCCTTGGGCAAATTTTAAGAGCTCCCACAGTTGCAGAGTGCAATAAAGTACCTGAAATGTTCCAAATTTAATTTCTCCTCAAAAGAAGATTCAGTGGTTCTTCGTAATAGTTAAACCTCCCCCCACCCTCCTTTTCTCTCTCTCTCTCTTTCACCCGCCAGTCATTTTGGTTTAAGTGCAAAATTTTGGTCAGTTTCTACTTCAGAAAAGTCACTCCATAACTTTACTCCTATTATTATCCGCGATCCTGTGATTACTCAACTTCAACAGAGAAAGAGAGAGAGAGAGATCATTTAAAAAGACTGAAGCTACCGCAAATCATCTCTGAGAATCTTGTTCTAAGTCATAAAGAAAATGCCATTTAGTCGCTTTAGCACTTTGAAGTTAATTTTTGTAAAGTATTTTTTAAAAAAATGAAACATTAAAAAAAAATTTTATAAAGCGAATAATCATTTGAAGAAAAGGAGAGGTTATTTTTCGATTGATTAATTTTTTGCTTAGAAATAAATGACAAAAGCAAATCTTGACGAGATATTCAAAATCTAATATGGAACTTGATATTCCAACTGTCCACCAATTAGCGCGAGGTATTAAAAAAACATGAGGAGAAATTAATGACAGCGCCACCTAGTGTCTAAATATTGGAGATAGAATTGTAAATCAGCTGTTAAAATATTCCCTGATGAATTGTGTTGCCAAGAAGACTAGAAACAGGAGGAATAACTCCGGTGGTGGGGGTGAAGCAAATTCGGAGGACAATGAAGGACTCCGGTAGTTTGCGCAGTAGTGAAAAAATGAAACATCCGCGCATACATGTGTGAATGCTTCTCGAGCGTTTGCCGAGCAGACGATATATTGAATGTATCATCATGATAGTGAGGTTAAAAATATTAAGCTATATAATTTTATTAAATTGCGAACCACTTTATTTTATAATAAATCAAAATGCTTGTTGCAAATAAAAAGATTTTTGTTATCACATGTTCCGTCTTTAAGGTTATGACCAACAGCATTTATCCAAACATCTCTCACTTTCTGTAAAATATAACAATAGATACTAAATAAACGTAAAACTTTTGCATTTACTATTTTTAATGAGAAAATTATTTATAATAATAAATTAAATGAGTTTCAAATTTATAACTTACCTCGTCCTTTGGAAATTTAAATAAGTGCTTATCACCACTATCACCTTTATTTGAGCAATTCATAACACAGCAACTTGAAGGCATTTTTACATTACAATTTATTTTCTATTTATCACAATTTTTAACATTGCACACAACAAAATTATCCAACGATTGCAAATTTCTGTTCCACGTGATTTCTTTCAAACAGGTAAACAAAACATAAGTTAGCAGAAATCATGTCAGTATGCGCAGAAACGTAATTTGGTCTACTGCACAAACTGCTTGCCACCTTCAATGTGCCCGTACATTGCCTCAACGCTCTCTTACCCCCACCACTGGAGTTATTCCTCCTGTTTCTAGTCTTCTTGTGTGTTGCTTACAGACTGCAAAGTTCTCGCAGCTAAATAATTATTTAGCAAAATTTACGAATAAATAAACATTTATATTCTGTACATACAAAATTTTATTTTATCAAAACTAGACGAGATTTATCAATAATAAAATATGTATTTTCGTTTCGATTCGCGTTTTTAAAATTTTTCTAAATAATTCTATAATTACACAGCAATTAAATAATTAAAATGATCGTCACAATTATATTATTTTTCGAATAGAATGATTAGAAATTTTTTTTTTAATTACAATAAAATGACCTTTCTCTATTTAGATTTGTGTAGTTTGATATTAAAATTTAAATATTTTTATAATTGAGTGAAATGATAATTTAATTGAATATCACTTTCGAAAAATGACAAATGCCTCGTTTATTGTATATCATTATCATAATCAATGAAGTGAAGTTTATTGTTGATTTTATAACTCTCTCTCTCTCTATTTAATCCTATTATTAAATGAAGATCATCACAAATAAAAGTTATTAATGAAATGGTCCATTAAATCGTAAAATGTGTTTTAGCACGCAAAATAATAATTTGCAAAAGATATATATAACGTCTTGAGAGAATTAACAGCAGCAATAATTTTCTAGCGGTACAAAAAAAAAAAAAAAAAAAAAAAATGTTGACAATATAGATCCCCGCGGAAAGAAGAAATCCCTTTCACTTTCTATTTTTCACTAAACGTTGATTTATAAAAGAAGCGGTATTACTTTGTAGTCAAGATAGAGAGAGGGGAGTAAACAGAATTCTAAGATCCTGTTCTGATTATTGTAATTAAATTGTTGCCTATATGGACTTTCAGAGGGAGGAGGGGTTTATGGCAAAGGGTGAAACGAGGTCATTCGACTACCTGCTACACCATGGGAAATGCCCCTTATGAATAGGCAACCAGGTTACAATTTTTACCCAAAAAAAGTAAAAAAAAATTTCGAAACTTTCGTTAAATATTAATGAGCAGTTTTGTATAATAATTTTTTCCCCCTATTTTTTGTTGTTTCTTATATAAAGATGTACAACAGGTATTCTAATGAGCGTAAAATTATTTTGTTTTAGTAAATCAAAAAATGTTATAAATTATTAACTTCAATAATGATAAGAGTTTAAAAAAAAACAGAAAATCCGTAAAATTTGGAAAATGTACTTAATTTTTAATAACTTCGGACCTTTTATAACACTTTCGTGGAACTGTAAACAATCTAAAGTAGAAGGTCTCGTTATTTATAATGATCAATTTTTATCAAAACACACTTTTGAAAAATTTTGATAACTAAAATTTTAATTTTGATTTCTTAAAATAAAAATTATATTTGAAAAAATTTGCAAATACTTCCGGATATATATATGTATATATATATTTCTGTGTTAATAAACTCAACTTTATACGATTTCGATAAAAAGATACCGTTCTATTAGGTACTTAGTTACGCTTGATAAGAGGCACATAAACTATGGAAGAACCGGAGTCGAGAGATGTACAAAAGAAAGGGGGGCGATATAGTACTTTGAAGTTTACGATCAGAATGGGGATAACGATGCAACAATGCTCCAAGTTTCTTGGATATATAATAAAAGAAGAGAAAATAAAGAGAGTGAGGAGAGAATTCTATATATATATAGCATTGTATTAAAAAAAAAAGACATGGAAGAACCAGAAATATTTACACTTCTCTTTCATTATTATTTTTTTTTTATTATTATATCTAGGGTGAGAATTAATTAAAGTTAAACAGTTCTAACTGCCCCATGAGCAGGTTAATTGTCTGTGTGTACACAATGGACCAAAATGAGGTTGTCGAACTCATACGGAAAATAAGGATAAGAAAAATTTTTTTTTAAATCTTTTTTAAACAATAAATAAAGTTTTAATGAAACAAATTGTATAGTGATAAATCGCATATATTAATTGAATTAAAATCAAACTAAAGCAAATTTACTAATAGAAAAGAGAAAGTCTTTTTGAGACTAGAGAGAAAAATCAAAAAAAAAAAAAAAATGTTGGAAGACTATTCCAAATTGAACTTCCTTATGTAAATGAGCCTTTATTAGTCGAAAAGGAAAGAAACAGGATAAGATTTTGTGGGAGAAATAACTCAAGAATGAATTCATATACTACTTTTATCTATTTCCACTCAATAACAATAAATCTTTAATACACATTACAATCTATAAAGAGTCGACTAGGACTGAATGGTGACTCTCAGGTTTTTCTTTTTAATTTTTTTTTTTTTTTCCCTTTTTTTTTGGTATAGGTGCATATCTTTACACGTTAATCTTGAAACCTTGGGTGTCCGCGGGCGGCACTTACAATTAATATACAGGCTTAGGTACTTAACGCTCCGGGCGACTCTCTTAAGCGTCGAGATAAGCTGACGATGACGACGACATCTAAAAGACAAAATTTACACCTAGAAGTCCCCCTTTGGCAAACAATATATATATATATATGTGCTATTTACACCGATCTTAAATTAGTGGTAACATCAAGGAATTGACAAAGAATGGGACGTGCTTAAAAAGGATCGTTTTTGATAATAAAATAAAAAAAAAAGAGAAATACAAGAGACAACTACTATATACAAGATAATGTGGGTGGTCCTTGGCCAAAAAAAGGAAATCACAATCTGAGACTTCTATTTACAGATCACTGGAAAAAGGAAGGAGTCCCAACTTCTTATCAGATCAAGATTTCCTAATTTTTACGAGGAAGACCGTTAACAAAAAAAAAAAGACTCGATTAGCACCTAGAAGATATTAGCATCGTTTGGCTCTTCAATATTCATACAACTCTCTCTCTTATCATCTATAAACTATCTACGTTTACACTTTTGGATGATCATCAGTCGTCGAAACAGATCGTAAATACTATTCGTTTTAATCTCTAGAAACCTAAACCTACACAACAATTTGACAATCGAAACAAATTTCTCTATGGAGGATAAATTTTTTTCGAGAAATGACATATAATTTAAAACTTGAAAGACTTATTTACATTTAAATCTAAAGAAAAAAAACACCTTTGGTTTATATTATAAAATAAAAAACAAAAACAATTTTTATAGACTATTTGGGAGAAAAATAATTTTTTGACAATTTTAATAGTCTTTGGATTTTTTTCATCTTCTTTTTTTCTAATCATCTAACGCCTCATTATATCTTCTATACTAAAACCCAATTTTCTCGTGGAACTTAATTTTTCGCTTGATTTTAAAACATTTGATGTTTCCATATTTTCTGTTGTCATTGGTTGATCTATTCGAAGATCCTGTGGTACTTCAGTGTGTGTTGCAAGATGTGTTTTTAAATTACTTCGTTGATTAAAGCTTCTTGCACAAATTGGACATTTATGAGGTGATTCTTGAAGATGTAGAATTTTATGAACCGCCAATGTTCTACTTTGACAAAATCCCTTTCCACAATCAGCACATTTAAAAGGTTTCTCCTTACTGTGAATATACCTATAAAACAAAAGAAAAATGCTAATTAGATTACAGTTTCCAAAAAATTATTTATCAGTATAGATATCTGTTATTGCAGAAATTTTTTTTATCAGAACAAAGACAATTAGCCTAAAATCGTAAAAGACAATAAAAAAATGATGTAAGAAATAAGGTCATATTGACAAACATCTTTAAAAATTTTCATCATAGAAAGACCTATTGACAAGATCTTTTATAGAATGTACAAATTTGAAATGTCTTATCAACAAAAAGTAATCTTTTGCTTTTAATCCAAGAGAAAACAAATTTAGCCTCAAGCGATGATAAATGTTACCTCTTTAGTTTACTGATCTTAATCCCAGTTTCACAATATATACAGAAATAAAATTTAAGAATATCTGTTTTTATTGTAACAAAATTTGAAAGAATAAGTAAGTCTATTTAAACAAAATCCCAAGACTTCGCCCTTAATTACTCCTAGGATTTCTAAAACCTAATGGCCTTAATGAACATCCGTTTTTTCTTTATGTACCCTGATTTTAAGATAAATTTTTGGGATCAAAACTAATTGAACTGAAATTACAAAGAATTTAGTTTACCTATGATCTCTTAAATGATCTTGTCTTCTGAAAGCCTTTCCACAAATTTCACAGGAATAGGGCCTCTCATCGGTGTGTGTTCTCTCATGTATGAGTAAATTGTAGCTCTTGGTGAATTGCCTGTTGCAAAATTTGCAAATAAACTGCTTCTTGGGTCTTTGACCGGGAAGTCTCTTAGTGAGAAAAGAGGCGGGAGGTGGCACTGGAAGAGCAGAATGCATAGGATGACCTGATGGTCCATGATGATGGGAAGACAACGGTGTCTGAGGACAACAACCCCTCGCTGCCAAAATAGCACCCCTCATCCAATGATCTAAAAAAGCAGCATGATAACCAGGTTGTTGTGGCAATTGTTGTTGATGATGATGATGATGCTGCTGCTGCTGATGCTGTGGTAGATGAAGTTGAGGATTTCTCATCCACCTTTGCGCCAGAGTACCATGAGGGTGTAACCTATCGATTCCCGCAGAGGGGGGAGTATGTGGAGGCGTCAGAGGCTCCATCTTCGTGTCCATCATCGAAAATCACAATTTTCACTAATAATTTAGTTTTAAATTTATTCCGGACCTTTTGCACTACACTTGGCAATGTCCAAAGTATCTAACGATGAAGGTCTCGATGAATATTAAACACTTTATTCACTAAAACACTTGACCGATACAATTTATTTCCTCACAAACATCACTTTTTTAAAAATATTTATTAAATATCAAAATAATCTTAAGGGAGAGTGAAACTTTAGAAAAATGGAATTTGCAAAAAAAAAAAAATCTGAGTAGGCGGATGATGAATGACAGTAGAAGAACTGGTGGTGGAAAGTTCCTCCCTGACGATCGGTAGCAAGTTGTAGGATGGGAAGGTTGTCAGATTTTTTGAAAGAGAAAAAAAAAAAGGAATAAGAAGCTCTCTTCTCGAAGTTCTGAGAGATACTGGCTTGGTTGAAAAGTTCCCTCTTGTATCCTCAGATGAACGGCGAGCTCCTCCTCTCATTTCTAATGTTGAACTCCCGGTTGGTGGCGACTTCTACAGGGGCGGGGCTTCCGATTGTAGAACCCTCAGGGCGTCGCGTCCCAACGCTACCCCTGCTGATGTTGGTACTTCTCAATTCAACTTAAACATGCGCACACGACACCCACGCGATTTACTTCCGTACTCAATTCTCAGCTTCCATGGCCGATCCTTTTACAAGCTCTTTTTCAGAGCAGAAAAAAAAATTTCCATCCATTTACAGGAAGTACTTCCAAAAAAAAAATAAAACTAATTAGATCTCAATATCTTCATTATTTGTAAATGTATTAACGAACTTAATAATTAAAATCACTAATAAAACCCGTTAAGGAAATAACGGAAACCAAAATGTTGAAAGATGAAGAAAATTTAAGTTACTAGAAATGATAAAGTAAATAACATGTGAGAAAAAGGAAATAAAACACATATAAAGTGGAAGAATTGAAAATAAAAGATTAGAACAAATAATTAATGTTAACCATCGCTGCACACGGATGTTCTACACTTCCTGCAGTTTGGCTATCTAAAATAAAAAAAAAGGAAATCCTTCAAGAAAAGTACAATTAAATTGTGAATACTAATTTTAATTAAGTTTGTTGTGAAAAAGGAAAAAAACTACATAATTAACAGAGAAGCTTAAAAGCTGAACCAATCAATGTTCGCCTAACATAAAGTTATATTTAAGGCTTGCGCATAACGCAATAGCCACCCTTTTGCTTCTTCAACCCCAGTTATTGACTATATCGAATCAGAAAACGAAGGGGAGTCTTAAACATTTCCTTTGAGATTATAGCATGGCGTCTTTATTATGATATAGCGTTATTTTGTATTTCAAGTGATAGAAAAATTATAATTCTTTGTTACAAAAAAGAAAACGAACTGAAGCATCAAAAAGCTGCAAAATTTTGAAAAAATTTTCTATAAAATTTTTAAAATCTACATAATTTTAAATTTTTTGTCCTTTAATTGAATCTGGACCATTTGCACTTTACTTTTAAACGTTCAAAGTATGTGAAGCAGAAGGTCCCATTAATATTAACTATAAAATATTCGAACTAAAGCATAAGAAGCTGCAAAATTTTGAAAAATTTTTCTATACAATTGTTAAAATCTACATAATTTTAAATTTTTTGTCCTTTAATTGACTCTGGACCATTTGAACTTTATTTTTAAGAGTTCAAAGTATGTGAAGCAAAAGGTCCCATTGATATTAATTATAATATATTTGAATAGGAGCATTAAAAGCCGAAAAATGTTCAAAAATCTTCCACAAAATTGTCAAAATCTACATAATTTAAAATTTTTTGTCCTTTAATTGACTCTGGACCATTTGCACTTTATTTTTAAGAGTTTAAAGTATGTGAAGCAGAAGGTCCCATTGATATTAACTATAATATATTTGAATAGAAGCATCAAAAGCCGAAAAATGTTCAAAAATCTTTCATAAAATTGTCAAAATCTACATAATTTAAAATTATTTGTCCTTTAATTGACTCTGGACCATTTGCACTTTATTTATAAGAGTTCAAAGTATGTGAAGCAGAAGGTCCCATTGATATTAACTATAAAATATTCGAACTAATGCATAAGAAGCTGCAAAATTTTGAAAAATCTTCTATAAAATTGTTAAAATCTGCATAATTTTAAATTTTTTGTCCTTTAATTGACTCTGGACCATTTGCACTTTATTTTTAAGAATTCAAAGTATCTGAAGCAGAAGGTCCCATTGATATGTATTAACTATAATATTTTCTAACAAAAGCATCAGAAGCTGCAAAATTTTGAAAAATCTTCCATAAAATTGTAAAAATCCACATAATTTTACATTTTTCGACCTTTAATTAAATTTAGACCATTTGCACTTTATTTTTTAAAGTACAAATTATTATCTGAAGCAGAAGGTACCATTAATATTAACTATTATTCCTATTTGTATCTACAATTTTTTTTCTAACAACTAAAAATTTGTTGTAATAAATATATTGTTGGTGTTACAATACAGCTTTTGATGCTTCAGTTCGTTTTCTTTTTTGTAACAAAGAATTATGATTTTATTGTATCACTCGACCATAAAATTTTTTTTCTAACAACTAAAAATTTGTTGTAACAAATATATTGTTGGTGTTACAATACAAATTTGTTGTAGCGACCAAACAAAATTTGTTAGCTCTTGGTAACTTGATAAATATTAATAACATAATAATGTTTCATTAAATTTTCTATACTTAAATTGTAATTTTTTGCATAAGTGACTTCTGTTTATAAAATATGCTTCATTCGTCAATAATATTTAAGATATTTGTAAATTAAATGATAATACATGTTTATAAGATAAAAGACAAGTAAATGAATCATATTAATCATTTTGTCTATAAAATCTCGACTATCATTCCTATAGATGATCAATCAATGTCAATTGTTTCAGCAGCGTATTGATACATCATTTCGATCTTTAAAAAATAATTTAATGAATCATCTTTCAATTCCAAAAGTTAATGTATAAAAAAAATTCAAAAAAAAGACATTTAAAAAAGAAAATTATGTTATCTTTTGCAAATACATAAATATCGACATAATAGATTTCAAGTGAGGGTGAAAATTGAAATTTTATATGTTGACGCATATGATAATTGTAACAGATAACCAGATGTTAGCATGAATAGATTACAGGGCTACCAACAAGCTGCTCTTGATGTTATCAAAAATGGCTTAAAAAAAAAAAAATATGTCACCCCATACTGATAGATTCATTTCTGATTGGAATTTTATCAGTTTCTTCTCCCAACTAATTAATTCCAAATAAAGAATTATTATATGTATCATGCATCGCGTCCTTCGATATAAAAAAAAAAAAAAATTGATGGTATACAAATTAAATGTGTCGATTAAACACTGATCGCTGAGCAAAAACCATGTAAATTACAAGGTACGACGATAATTACATATATACATATATGTATATAATATAGTGTGTATCATATATGTTCAAAGAAACCTTGAAGAAGGCTCTTGAAGGACTTGAGGTGGACTCATGCTTTATAGGCTCACGCCCCAGAGAGTATTGGAAGAACACAGATTACTCACTGTTGATCATTAATTGGAACACGGTTTTTTTTTTCTTGACCATCTTTTTTTCTCACTCGCGTCTCCCGTCGATTATATGTTCAACTCTCAGTAATCTCATTATACGCTAACGATCATGCTCAGCGTGATATAATCAAACGGCTACCATCAAAAATTTCTTCTTTTTTTTTCCTCTCTTCTTCACAATAATATATTGTGAACTAATTGATTTCCAAATATTTGTTTTCAATACAAATGTTTTTTTTGTTTTCAATCAAATTTTTGGTTTTTGATATTGACAAATAAATATAATTATTTATAAATATCAAAAAAGAAAATGTTATTCTGCCCTACAAAAGGAAAAACGGTAATGTAGGTCATGAATGGACCACTTCCTGTTATGTATAATAAATCTGTTAAAAATATTTTTCCCAGACAGCACGTAAGCTTGCAGCAACCTTGCGTCAAGCTTGCCACGCAATATTGCCAACCTTGCACGGCAAGTTTGCCGCAAGCTTGCAAATGTCCCAACCCAAGATTGCATAGTAAGCTTGCCGAAAGATTGCAGTGTAAGATTACTGCAAGATTGCACAGTAAGATTATCGCAAGATTGCATGGTAAGGTTACCGAAAGATTACAGTGTAAGGTTACTGCAAGATTGCATGATAAGATTATTGCAAGCTTTCACAGTAAGCTTGTGACAAGGTTGGTGTAAGGTTGACAATAACCTTGCCGAATCAGCACAGAAGTTTGCGCAAGCTTGCCAAGAAAACTTACATGGCAAGCTTGCTGCAACCTTCTGTGCTGATTGGCAAGGTTATTTGGCAACCTTGCACCAACCTTACGACAAGCTTACCGTGCAAGCTTACTGAGCAATCTTGCGATAATCCTACTCTTCAATCTTGCAGTAACCTTACACTTTAATCTTTCGGCAAGCTTACCATGCAAGCTTGGATTAGGTGGGACATTTGAAGCTTGCGGCAAACTTGCCGTGCAAGGTTGGCAATATTGCGCAGCAAGCTTGCCGCAAGGTTGCTGCAAGCTTACCCTGCTATCTGGGAAGTGACACGTATGTTTTTTCCATTGTAGAGCATTATAAATTTTTGTTTAAAAAAAAAAGAATGTAATGTCCAGAAAAAAATAATAATTTATGATCAGAGAAAAAAAATTTATAGTGGGAATATTGTGAATCATTATAAATTCAAGGAAGAGAAGCAGCTTTTATTTGATTAGAGTGATAATAATTGATGGAACATTAAAATCTCACTACAAACATCAAAATCCAGATCACCTGGTTTTCAAGGCATATAAGATCATTATCAGCGTGTATATAAATTTCAGTTTGAGGATCGGTGTATTGACAGTGTGTGTGTGTGTGTGGTGTGTAAAACGTTGTGTTATCAACTGCAAAATTACGCTTATCATTTATATGGCATATATATATGGCAATGCAGACAGCGCGTCACCTCTCGATAAAATCTACACGATGCTAAAAAAAAAAATTTCATCGAAATTGGAAGTCAAATTTTTTTTTTTTTGAATTAAAAATCAACTTCTTAATAACTACGATATTATTAAAAAAAAATTTATTTGATTCAAATTCTATTATCAAATAAATATTTACTTGAAGCAAATAATTTTTCAAAATAATTGAATTAAATAAACTCTATTTGGACTGTATTGGAAAGAAATGTTATTTTCTTGATACAAATAAATTTTATAATAGTTAAGTAACCGATTATTTAAAGCAAATAAATTTTTTTTTTTCATGAGACATACGTGACACTTGAAATTTAGGATTTGAAAAAGTGATTAGTCTAGACGAGACATTGTGCAGATATATACTCTTGACTTGAAAACGGAGATTCACGACTTTAAATTACTTTCAATAAACTTTTCACGTTACCATGAAGAAGGTAATTAAATATGAAATTTATTTTCTAAACAGGCCAATTCTGTCAACTTTGAGTGCGCATAAAGCTTAAATATTATTTCTCAAGTGGACGAAGCAAATTCCTTCCAGTCAAGCAGTCTACTCTTCTTTTTTCCAATACTATATAGAATACAAAATCGAAAGAATTAAAAAAAAATTAAAAAAATTCCAGTATATTTATTTTAATTAAATTTAATTATACATCAAGAAAAAAGATTTCTTTGATTTAAAGAAACCAATTTCTTTGAAACAAAAAAAAAGCTTCTTATAGTTTCAAAAAAAAAAAAATTTATTGAATTAAACAAAATTTTGTGCATTAAATCAAAGAAATTCTAACATTGATATATTATAGGATCAAAGAAACATTTATTTGAATTAAATAAAAAATTTCTTTGAAACGAAGATAATTTTTTTTTTAAATAAAAAATAAAGCAAAAAATAAATCACCAATTCAAAATTAGTTAAAATCGACAAATTCTTTAGAGAGTAAATAATCCAGTTCATATTTTTCTAAAATAATAATTATACATACTTATATTATAAGAAATATTCTTAAGTATCCAACGAAAATGAATTTTCAGAAAAGAAAATAATATTCGAAAAAAAAAATTGATTCCAATTTATAAAATGTATATGTCAAAAAAAGCTATAAATGTCGAAATGAAAAATGAATTTTTTGCTCAAGGGAGAATGTTTATCATCTGTTATTATAAGCTTTTTAAGAATTTTTACGACTTTTCTTAGAAATCTCTTTAACACCCATGGAAATTGAGACGATTCCATCGTATATACTTCATTTATATTTCTAAGGGACAAATTTTTCAAGGGTCATTCTAATATATCTTTCGCATACACTTGTAATTTCTCTTTATTTTCTTTTCCCTTCATAACACACACATATAAAAATAATAAAAATATATTTCACAAAATTTTTATATTTAATTATTATAATTTTGTTAAAAAAAAAAAAAAAAAAAAAAAAAATTGTAAAGGAACCTGACACTTGAGCGGAAGTGCAGGTCAAATTTTTTTAAAAACGAAAAGTTGCCACGGAACACACGACCAAAAATATATATATATTCAATATAATATAGTGAGACTACTGCAAATATTTAATGGTCAAATATCATCACACACTCACACTGAGAGAGTTTACATATCACGCTTCTTGTGTCTGTAGATGGGGGGAAATCCCAAAAAAAAAAAAAAATTTCAAACTGATGAAACTAAAACTAAATCGTATATATAATCAGAAATTTACCAATGTTAACCCTTTTCTCGAAAATTTTCTCTTTATATTATAGTTTTAAGTCTATATCCGTCTAAAAGACGGAGATTACAAAATCCCACGTACTTTTTCCAATACCTGACTGATTATCGTCTAAAATCTGGGTCGAATCTTGTCTAAGTGCCACAAAAGACGTTTACTCAACAAACTAAACATATATATTATCGCCTTTTATTTTTTCAAGGAAAGTGCAAAAAAAAAAAAGAAGAATCCGTCAAATAAGCAGTTTTTCTTCAGTTTTACTCAAATATTATCTTCAATTGTTTTTAATAAACAAAACCCGACTTCCAATTTCTTACTTGTTTATTCTATATTTATTTTTCATCTAGTTCTTCAATTATATTGAAAGGACCACCAAGTTTTAGTATATACGGTTATGTTTTATTTTATTTTTTTTTTAAACTTATTTTTACTTTATATTTATTTTATTAAATTATTATATTTATTATGTCATTTAATTTTTAATTTAATTTTAATTTACATTTTTTATTTTATTATTATTATTATTTGTAATTTCATTTATTTTTATATATTTATTAACTAAACAATTCTGACTACAGATATACTATTTATTACTGCAAGATTACTCAATAAGCATGCACGGTAAGCTTGTAGCAACCTTGCGGCAAGCTTGCCGCGCAGTATTGCCAACCTTGCACGGCAAACGTGCCGCAAGCTTACTGCAAGCTTCAAATGTCCCAATTAACCCTATTGCTAGCATTGTATAAGCTTACCGAAAGATTGCACAATAAGATTATCGCAAAATTGCTCAGTAAGCTTACACGGTAAGCTTGTAGCAAGATTCGTGCAAGGTTGCCAAATAACCTTGCTTTAAATCTAAAACAATTTTTTTAAAAATGTTTCGTCTAATTTATATAAATTTTATTATATAAATTAGACGAAACATTAAAAAAAAATTTTAGTTTCAAATCAAGGTTATTTGGCAACCTTGCTACAAGCTTACCGTGCAAGCTTACTCAGCAATCTTGCGATAATCTTATTGTGTAATTTTGCAATCTTTCGATAAGCTTACATTGCAGGCTTTTTGGTCAGGTGGAACATTTGAAACTTGCGGCAAGTTTGCCGTGCAATGTCGGCAATATTGCGCGGCAAGCTTGCCGCAAGGTTGCTGCAAGCTTACGTGCTACCTGGATATGTTTATTTTTATGTATATAATATTTATTATGTTTAATTATGTTTAATTATGTTTAATTATGTATAATTATGTTAGTTTTAACGTTTAATTTTTTTTGTCTTTTTTGATGTTGTCAATTTGATGTATTTCTGCAAATGAATTTAAACAAATGTATAAAAACTACATTTTTTTTTTTTGAACACACAGACTCATATGCATAAAATATAGAAAATTTGCATAATTACCAAATTTTCTAAAACAATATAATAATATATTCGCGTTTGTATATATATATATGTATGGAAAATTTTTCTAAAAGAAAAGAAAATTATCGTTTTTTTTTTCTTACTAGTAAGAAGAATAATGATAATATGTAAATTTTTGCTTTGAAATGAAAATGACGATGTTTTTTTTTTTTTTTTGTTTATTTCACAAAAGACGTGTAGATAATAATTTCTGGAAAATGTTTAGCATACAAAGACAAACATAATGGAAGCCGAGAGATGAGGATGCTTCGAGATCGTCGGCCCGAGGCATGGGCGGCTAATTTAGTTTAAAGCTCCATCAAGCACACCAACCCACGATTCCTGCCCCTCTCTCTGGTTTTATTCAGCATCCCTTATAAACGTCTTCTATCTCAGCGTTTATCTGATGTAGACTGCAATCTGCTGCAAAATCATTTTAATCGCTTTTTATCAATTTTTAATCATTCTCACGTATAATAAAGTAAAATCCGTCACTTTTTTTTTTATTGCAAAAATAAAATATATATATATTTTTTTTTTATTAGGTATAATATAAATTTTTTTTTAAGATACTACTATGTATATTGCAACGGATATTTTTAACTGTAAAAAAAAAATATTCTAGAATTTTTTAAACCGTGACAATATATGAGAAATTGAGGAAACGTTATTGACAGTTTTTTTTCTTTCTTTCTTTTTTTTTTGGCACCCCTTGTAAAAAAAGAGCTTAACTGCACTTTTTACCGTTTTTTTTCGGTTATTGCTCATTTAACTTTTTCCTTTTATGAGTTTGTGACTTGTGTCAAAAAAAAAAAAAAAGTGGACAAGTGCCACGAGCCTTGGGAGTGTGCCAAGCAAGCCAATCCTTATTTTTTTTTTTATAACTTTATTGAGGGAAAAATATATTTTTGCTTCTGGACGTACAAAATGGTTTTTATCTTTTTTTCTCTTTTTTTCAGGTAGTGACTTTAAATCGAAAGGTTTATTGACAGGTTCGAAGAGTTGTAAAAGCTCTGAACAGTAGCGGAAAGGATGAAAGTCATGCGAAAAAAAAAGAAGGTAAGAAATTTTTCATCTTCTTATTTTAAAAAAAAAAACACGTGGTTTTTTTTCCAAATAATTTTTTTGTCTAAAAAAAAATTGAAATTTACCAGGACAATAAAAAAAAAAAATTATGAAAATTCGTAACGCGTCAAAAATTTTATAAAGTTTTTCGAAAAAAGAATCTATGGGGAATATTTTTTGGGTTAGAAACAAGTCTAACCATAGAAAATTGCCATAATATTGAAATTCTCACATTTAAGGTCCTCTCTTTGGATATGGCTACTGCAGAGTCGTAAAAATAATAAACATAAAATCATAAAACTTTGTTCACAGGATTAGAATGTAAAAGTAAAAATTCAGCCCACAAATACTTTTCTAAAAATTTGTATTTGAACATTGAATATAAAAAATTACCCGCTGTATTTAATTTTAAAATTAAAACTAAGTACATTTTTCTTTAAATATACAAAATGTTTAAAATTTTGAAATCACTTCAGTATAATTTCAATTGAAATTCAGCTATATTTCACTCAAAATTAGTAGAATTCTTTACTGATTAAAAAATTCAAATCTGCATTATCATTAATTGGTAAAACAGTCAAATTTTCATTATCATTAATCGGTAAAACAGATTTGATTCAATTAGTAAAGTATTCATCTAATTTTTCAGTGAAATATAATTGAATTTCAAGAGGAAATACTAAAATCAGAGTTTCTAAATTACAATTATTTTCATCGAATTGTTTTATATTATTTAAATAACAAAATATTTTTTATATAATAAAATTTTGTATTTTAAAAGAATTTCTAATTAAAAGAAAAACAATGTTCTCCAACTTGGAAAAATTTGTGAAAAATCTGCTGACTTTGTGCTTTCACTTATATCCGGATTGTTAACAATTCATTGCAATATAATCCAAAGCAGCTGTCAGTGAACAAAAACTACCCTAAATCGAAAAATCCGAGTATACCTCCGTTAACCACGCTACTGGCACACTTTCCCATTTTTCCAAAATATGTATATATAATCCTCAGTTCTGCAACTTTGACTACCTGAGGAGGAAAAATTAGGTCAGCAGGTCAAAGTTTTCCTATATATATATATATACATAAATTGGCGCTATTAAGTCTAAAAATGGAGTTCAAGCACTGAACAATAACCCTCGGATACAATAAAATTGTTACTGATTGCTTGGAAAAATTTTAGCCTTGACCTGGAAAAGAATACAAGTGCAATTCACCTATACTATATAATATTCTTTTCATTTTTATGTTATACATATATATATTTTGCTGAAAATGATTTATATACCTGATTTCAAGGTGAAATTAACCCTTTCTTTAAACTTTCGCTACTGAAATTTTGGTATTAAATTGCGCATTATTGAATGTTTTTTTTTTGGGTATTTATTTTATTCGTAAAAAAATCTTTATCTGGAACAGCTATAATTTTTTCTAGAATAGCGGAAAATTTTCGCTGTTTTACTCTCTAAATCTGAATTAGTAAAAATGTTTACTAATTTGAATTAGTGACTCACTTTTTGCTTCTGAATTAGTAAAATTTTACTAATTATTAGTAACTTTTACAAACAATTAGTAAAATTTAGCTAATTCAAAAGCAAAAAGTGAGTCACTAATTCAAATTAGTAAACATTTTTACTAATTCAGATTTAGAGAGTAGTGAAATATATCGCTGTTCCTGCGTGAAGATATTTTTTTCCATTATAAAATTTAGAATATTGGTACCAAAATATTATATTCTTAAATTCAGTATTTAATATTCTTAAAATTAGAATATATTCTTAGTATTAAGTATATTTTCTTAGCATTTAATATTATATACTAAGTACCAAATATTCTAATTTTAAGAATATTACATGCTGAATTTAAGTATTATAAAATATTCTTAAAGTATATATGTGACGCTTCACAATAAAAGGGACTTAAGCTCCCAAAAAAAATTTTAGGTTATGTTTAATTATAGTCATTTTACAATTCATTTTCTAATTATGTAAAATAAATTTTTATTAAATATTTTAGATCTAAACATCGGTGGTTATGAGTTAATCATCTTTTTTTTAGGATCACTTTAAAAAACACAAACATAACCTAAAATTTGTTAAGGTCCCTTTTCGGAGAGCTCAAATTTCTCAAAAAATACACTTTTTTTTTAGATAGGAATATTGTCATATATATGTAACGGATCGTAAAAAGCATCTGCGTTGTAAAACGGTTATCAATATACCGAAACAGTAAAATATCGATAGGAAAGATAAAAAAAAATCATTTTAAATATAATAATTTTATTAATAATTTTTGTGAACTCACAAACAAATTTTTATATATTTAAAAATTTAGCATAATCTCTTTTTCTTTTGAGAAACAATTTAAATTTTATAAAAACTTGCAAGATCTTTAAACAAAATATTTGTGAATTCCCAAAATCCTGCATAATTATACCGAGCCAGTATAGACCTTTTTTGGGATTTTGTCGAATCTTTGTTTCGTATTATTTTAGAGGATTTAACGATCCTCTGGAGCCAATAAGTAATTATTTTGTTTAGTTTTAATATTTATGTTTTAGATATAACGCACTCAATATTATATTATTGTATATATGAAGAAAATTAGTAATATTTTTAAACATTTTATAATTTCTTTATTTTTTAATTAATTAAATAAATATTAATTAATTAAAATAAATTAATTAATAAAAGTATAAGTTTTTTTTCTTTCTTTTTGTCTGGATGTTAGGGAAAAAAGTAGACAGAATTATAAAATTTTAAATAAGTCAAAAAAAAAGGAAAATTGACCACTTTGATGTTTTTTTGTCTATGGAGAAAAATTCGTCTGTCAACCATGTGGACCTTTCTTTTCGTGAACAAAAATCTGGCAAGACTTTGAAATTCATTGTTCCCTTTTTTTTTTGCATGACTTTTATTTTGAGACAATTTTTTTTTCATTTACAGTCTGTGAAATTTTTACTCAGATTTATGACTTTTTACTGAAGAGGAAATTTTTTTTTTTTTTATAAAATTTAGTTTTTATTTCTAATAAACGTATTTTCTTCACATGTTAAATATAAAATATATACGTATATAATTTTAAAAAAAAATCTCTAAAACTGAAAAAAAATTACATTTTTATAATTTATAAAAGAAAGAGTAAATTTTTTTTTATACTTCCAGATTTTTCAAACCAGAAAAAAAAATTTGCCTCTCGTACTTTTATGGTTTTAACCCTTTTTTCCTATTTCAAAAAAGAATATATATATATAAAATATATAAATACAATACAATTTTTAGTGCAGTAAAAAGTCATAAATAAAATTTTTCAAGAGGAATCGAAAAAAAATTGTCACAAACTGAAAGAGCGACAAAAAAAAATTGAACCATGGATAAATCCAAAAACCCTTGCGCCAAATTTTTCATAAAAAAAAAAAAGAAGGCAAAGGCCCCACATGTTTCACAGACGTGTTTTTCTTCATCAGACAAAACGTCGAAGTGGAAAAAATTCAATTTCACTTTAAAAAAAAAGGTCAAACCTTCTCGTTTTACAATTTATAATATTCCGTCTTTATTCCTTAAAAGGAAAAAGAAGAAAGAACTGAAAAGAATTTTTAAAAATATTTTTTTTATAAAATTATTTTTTTTTTTTGCTGAGAAACAAAAAATTGAGGAAAATTTTTATATTACTACCTATATAGGAATAAAAAAAGTCAAAATTTTTTGTTTTATAAACGATATATAGTAGAGATATGATGGAAAAAAGAATAAAAATGATCTCATGGACGAGAGATGACCACACAGGTTCAAATATAATCTTTAGTAGGCGTATATGACAACAAGAAGAAAGAACTACAGAAGCATAAGGCATCTGTTTCTGCAGCTGAGACTAAGCAGATGATAATTTGTTATATGTGCCACCTATGTTTTTGAAATGAAAGGAAGATAATTTCAATTATCGATCAATCACACCTTCAGGATCTTTAGACATAATAATAACTGTCACTTGATTGTTCGATAAATGTCATTTATCATTGCCCCTTTTTTTTCAGTAGCAGTATTAAAAAATTTCAATTTTTTGTTTATATTAAAATTTTTTATTTTTTTCGGTAGTTATTTCTGTCTCGTTCCTTCACATAGTAAGATGAATTAAGATGACTTTCTTGTCAAAGAATTCGGAAAAATAAAAATTAATTCCTACGTTAAGAAAATATTGTCATCAATATTTCATCTGCCGCACAGTTTTCTTGTGTTACGTTCACAATCACAACACTTGAAAATTTTTAATTATTTTTATGGTTCAAATAATTATCAATAATTTATTTATTATAAATGAACAAAATTTAAGCAATGCACACTTGATAAATATTTCTAATGCGTTGTCAATTAATGAAATTAATAATTTCCTATTACACAGTATATCATAATCGATATATATGACAATTGTAAACAAACAGGGTTGGGAAACAAGAGTCCAAAATATATTCGTCCAAAGCGAATTTCAATCCTACCCAACTCTGCTTTGGACGAATATATTTTGGGCTCTTGTTTCCCAACCCTGTTTGTTTACAAATGTCATATATATCGATTATGATATATTGTGTAATAGGAAATTATTAATTGCATTAATTGACAACGCATTAGAAATATTTATCAAGCGTGCATTGCTTAAATTTTGTTCATTTATAATAAATAAATTATTGATAATTATTTGAACCATAAAAATATCTTATATCGAATCAAAACGTTGCATTCCAAAATGATACCATCAAGTTTACAGTGCGGGTAATAGTTTAGGATTTACAAAATTAGTACAACATACAATAGAAACAATTAAAAATTTTTATTTCGAAGGCACTATCACAGCTTTCATCTTGTGCAAGAATGTTAATTCAAAATTTGTTGAGTGAAATGCTCCCAATTCTTCCCCCGTATATACTCTTTCACTATTAAGGAGGTTATAGGGATTGACTGAACTAATCAAAACAGAAACCATTATTTTATGATTTG